TACTACTACTACTACTACTCGTCATTAATACTACTTGTCATTAATACTGTTATCATGAGTAATCAGATTAATTAATGTCTCGCTAGTAATGACACTCTTATTGTTGTAACTATTTTTGTGGCTTACGTTGTTTTTGAAACCTCGTTGGTATGATTGCTCTGATGTCCGTCAGATGACGTGGTGACGAGCATGCGACTGACCTGAGGTCCGGTGCTATGTCTTGTAATCTAGTGCGTAGGATTTCGAAAAGCTTGCTCTCAAAATCATGTGATTGTGTGTTGCTGAATCTTAGCGTGTCAGGTGCAGCATAACCCTGCCGCCGCACTTCGAATCTGGATATTCCTGGTAGGTACATTCAATTGTGCCGGAGTCTGATGACAGTGTTTTGTTTGTCTTCCAGGTCTTCCACGTGCATGCAATCTTTCCAGTCCGGATGCATGCCACAGCACATGCTGGTTGCTCATGGGCCAGCACGGTTCCCCAAGGCTGGAAACCAGAGTTGCTGTCCTTGCTGTCGTGAGTCCATATCTTTTTCCGGCCGCCGAAGCGTTGCAATCGTGAGCAGAGCATGCAGGAGTTGTCAGGCCACCGATCATGGACTCTAGTGCGCCGCAAGTCTGCTGTGCGGATTACCTGCTAGTCTCACGGGAGCCCCGCACCCTGAACCGGCCGATGTGGGCTCGTCTTCATCGCGACAGCATCAAAGCAGTGTACAAGATCCGAAGCTTGTCGAGCAGCTCTCACAAAAACTTGCTCAGGCACTGCTAGAGGCTTCCGCTTGAGGTGTTACGTAGGGCCTTAAGGTTAGCTTAGGACGACGGGTATACGTTGCCAGCTTTTCAAAGTTTAGGGCGTAGGTCGTGCTCGCGGCGCTTACCATCTGATTTGAAGATGTTTGAGGCTTAGTCCTGGTGTAATTATGAATTTGGTTTTTTTAGGACAATTATTTGCTGTCGACGGGGATATGATTCCCAAGTCATCCCTAAACCTTCATTTGGATCCGCAGTCTTAGAGAATGCTCGAGGGCTTGAGGGTTGTAGGGGCTTGAATAGCTACCTACACTATTCTTGGGCAGGGTCCTTATTATGAGTATAGTAGAATATACCCCCAAACCCTCGTCTAATTGTGGCCCCTACATCACTTGTCTTCGCTCATGAAGCCAGCAGCCAAGCAGGTGGTTCTGCCTGCCGAGAAATTTGAAGCTTCCAGAACTATCAGAGTTAGCACATGTTGGTCCTTGTATTTCATTATACTCGTTCGCGTTTTTTTCCCATGTGTTCGCTTCCATACATCTTAGTACCACCGTACGCAGCCTTGGATTGCCTTCCATGTTTTGCCGTCCTCAGCCGTTCGACCTCATACTCCAATCCCTCGAATCCCTTGTGCTCCAAATTCCTTAAGCCCAAACCCCTACCTTGGTTGTTGGCCAGGCGGCATGTTATTTTTGAGAAGACGACCGTTACCCTACAGTCGCCAGTCTCGTTCCCTACTTTGCACCCGTCTTCGAAGCGTTCGGGGTTTAGGGGGCATTCAACCCTAAACCCTAAACCCTAAACCCCTAAACCTAAAACCCAAAACCCAAAACCCTAAAGCTTGACAGGAAGTTGCACCTACAACATCTCCTTCGAGCAGGCTAGCATCCTCCCGGACACCACTGGCACAATCAAGGCATTCTGCCTCAGCGCTTAGTCGTTCAGGGTTTAGGGTTTAGAGATCTAACCCTAAGCGTCCATGTTAGCGTTGTTCTTTGTGGTGGGTTCTTCTGACAATACTAACTAGGAGGGCGATTGGCGGTACATTGTACCCAAATAGTACCATACTTATAAGTAGTCCCTACATGGGTAATTACTTTGGGGGCCAAAGTATATGCTATTTGGGTACATTGACCCTGAAAGAATGTTCCTTGGCCCTGAGGGCCTTTTGGTGTTAGGGGCTTCTTATGTTCACTGTTATCTAATAGAAGTCTTCCAAAAAGCAACCTTCAAATAGCTCCTCGGAGGTTCTTTCGACTTGAAAGGATGTACTTAGTATCCCTGAAAAACTTATGTTCCTGTAAGAGCCATAAGAATCGTAACCCATCTCACTGACCCGACTTAGGAAGCCAAAGGTTCCAAGTTCCAAGCATGAGCCCTAAACCCTAAACCC